GGGGTGGTAGTATTGACAAAATTTTAGATCAAACTGAGGCTAGATGGATCTTTCAGTTGGACACTCTAATTCCTAAAGGACTTAAAGTTGACTTTGAACTTCATGCTTTTTTTATAAATATACTCTTTTATAGGATATATTTATTATTACTATATGTTTTTTTTACATATATATACTCACTTCTAGCTTCACTTATTTAATCTCTTTCATTACATCTCCTATTTGAAATATTTCTGACTATATTATTTTATATATTATTTCTCTCACCACTACATATTGTATACAGATGTTACCACTTATATATTTCACATATATGGTGCTTGGTCACTTTGTAATTATATCATCCCTATTCTAATGAAGGTTCCCCATATGTATTAGAAATGGTTTGGATCCTTTTACACTACTTTGGCACTCCCTTTCACACATACATAATCTATCATTGGGAGTTATTTCACATATCACATATTTGAACACCACATGAAATCTGTTATTATATTTTCTTTGTATCCTTTTATGTATTATTCATCATTCTATTTCTTACCATATACTTTTCATTATATATTTTTCAATAGTACCTCAAGCTATCAGATCACCATTTTTATTATTTACTTACTTCAGGCTACCCAAATGTTGCTATATTATAGATCTGTCAGTTCATATGTATTGATGTATATGTACTTAAATCTCATTAAGCAATTATGGTGATTATTATACTAATATATTTTTATACATCTGTAATGATGATGATGCCTACAGTACATATTGTTTGTTACTTATTAATATTATTTTTTTTATATAATTGTTTTTATCTCTGTTGTTATCTTAATGCTCCATATTGTAATATTTTGTATATACTTGCAATACTGACAATGTATATATGTCATATCTATTTATTATTGTTTTTTACTTTGAGGCTCTACACTAATTAGCACAATGTGTATTTAAGCGTGGCTGCAACATCAGTCTGCAATATGTCTCTGAAGAAGTGAGGCTATTTCCTCACGAAACGCGTTAGACCGAAGCATCTCTTTGAACTGTGCTAGTAACCAGCATTAGAAGCACCCACTTGCTCAGGACCCTTGGTGAACCTGTGGACTTAGACTATTCACTGTGCACACCCCCCGGAGTGAGGTCCGTGTTGGGACGCACACATCGATCTGCATGCCGTCCTCAACCGGCAGACAGACCACAGAGCACCAGAGCAACAGCTGCCAAGTCAATCCACATCCATCCTGGCTGATTCCGAGGGTCTGTGAATATTTGTGGACTTCATTGGACTGGTAACATACATTTGCACATGAATTGACCATTATTTTTGATTAATTCATATTTTATCTATATTTATTTTTAATAAACTGGACTTTGCATTTCTATCCAGTTTCTCTCTTTCTACATTGTATACACGCTACATTATTTATTTTAGCACACAGTTCCTCATACTGTAGTGCTTGTTTTGCAACTTTGTCTATACAAAGCATATTATTTAGGTGCAAGTATTAACTATCTGTTATCCTGTATCTTTTCAGGGACAGTATTTTACTGCACCTTGCACTGTTAGGAGCATTTATTTTTATTTTTATTTTTTATTTTATTTTAATCATTTATTTTTTCTTATTTGATTCATCCTCTGTTTTTATATATCACATATGATTAAGTTTTAAAATCTATCAGTTCCATTTTAGAGTCCTACTTTGTATATATTTTTCTTAAAGGCATAGTACCCATTTTTGAGTCCCCTTTTTAGTCACATTTTTATTGTTACATCCTTTAAGTATTTTATACAGATTTTATCCAGCATTTCATTTCCAGATTTTTGAGTCATATGATTAAGTTTTAGAATTTATCAGTTACATTTTAGAGTCCTACCCTTGATATATTTTTCTTAAAGGCATAGTACCCATTTTTTAGTCCCCTTTTTTTAGTCACATTTTTATTGGTAAATCCTTGAAGTATTTTATACAGATTTTATCTAGCATTTCTTATCCAGATTTTTGAGTCATATACTTATTAGCTCCTAGGTCTTTTGCATTTTTTTGTGTTTTTCCACTTTTTAGTGCTTTTTCTTTATTCTATATAGGTTTTAGTGGAACCCTATCTTCCTAGTTAGTAGCTATTTAGTTTTAGTCCTCCTCCCTCTTTGCTGTGTATCACATTAGGTGTACCAGATCTATCTATATATATTATTTTGTTCTACGTGTATTTTGATATAAATATATATATATATATTAATATCACAATACAGTTAGAACGAAATAACACACATCTATATATTTTTAATTATTTTTTTAATTATTTTTTTATTTTATTTTTTAACGTATTTACATATTTAATTTGTTTATATTATATATAAATATATATATAACAATAATTATATATATATATATATATATATATATATATATATATATATATATATTGTGATAAAGTGAAGGCAGTTAGGCCTTTTAACCCCAGGGGAAGTACGTGTAGTTTGTGTGTTGCACAACACAAAACACTGTTTAGTTATGGGCCCCTGGGGTGGAGCATTTGGAGAGAAGGGTGGGCCAATGCTCCACTCCACAGTTTAGTGGTTTTCTGGGGAGACATGGATCCAGGCCAGGGTTTTTTGGATCGTCTCCAACCCACTGCTCAGCTGCAGTTAATGAGCTGTTGCAGTGGGAATAAACTCCTCCCTGCTAGACAGGTAAAGGAGAGGGATTGCTGGCTTCCTCCCAGGAAGCAGGTAGGAGAGAGAGGCTGTTCTCTCCAGATAGAGTCAAGGAGACTAGGCACTTGGAGTGCAGAAAGGAAGCAGTCAGGGCAAGGCTGGCTTGGAGCACTGGGAGTGCAGAAAGGAAAGCAGTCAGGGCAAGGCTGGCTTGGAGCACTGGGAGTGCAGAAAGGAAAGCAGTCAGGGCAAGGCTGGCTTGGAGCACTGGGAGTGCAGAAAGGAAAGCAACAGGTTAGATAGCAGAGTGTTGCTATCTAAAAGGTTGGTGCAATATTGTTTAGTTTAACCCTGAGAGATAGGGAAACTTATGTCAGTTAGTGCTCAGACGAGCATTTTTTGTTTATAGGGTTTTCATTCATTTATTTTTTTTTTTATATGCAATTTTTTTAACGTATTTACATATATTTTTTTATATTATATATAAATATATATATAACAATATTATATATATATTTAATCAGTATCAGTCTACGTGTAATTTATAATATATATATATATATATATATATATATATATATATATATATATATATATATATATATATATATAGATATATATATATATATATATTAATAGTAAAATACACCTAGACAGTGTGTGTGTGTGTGTGTGTATGTATATGTGTATATATATATATATATATATATATATATATATGATCTAAGTATACTTTTTTTTTTTTTTTATACACTTTTTAATTTATTTTATTTTTATTTTCAGCCAGCAGGGGGTCTGTTAACGGATGCTTCCTAGCTGACGCCGGGCACTATAAGCACTGCACCGGACATCACAACCACCACAGACTCCACAACTGACATAGCTTAACTGGAATCTCGCCGTCTTCCTTCCACCCTGGATCAACCTCTGACATCCAGAACCGTGTGGGAGAGACCTCTCCTCCAGGAGAGCGTAACAGGAACAGATCTTAAAAGAGCTATGTGATTAGAACCCAGGAGAGTATACAAAGTATAGCAATCCCCAGTGAGATTACAGCAGTTCCCCTCCAATCAAGAGACAAGACTAAGTGTTGAGGGTAAAACAGGAACAGAAGGTTTAATGGCACAGATTGAAATTTTATACAGTTTTTCAGGCCAGAGGCACACCCACTGGACTTAATGGAGGACAGGGACACAAGGGACTTAAACCGATCATAACAGTAATTAACAATACAACACTCCCACATACAGTAAACAATCCTTCCCCTCTGCCTGTGATATAATTAAAGGGACACTCCAGGCACCCAAACCACTCCTGCCCATGGGAGTGGCCTGGGTGCCAACGTCCACTATCCTTAACCCTGCAAGTGTAATTAGTGCAGTTGCCGTGCATGCGCATTAGGTCTGATGTCGGCGGGGATGGAGAGTTGGCGGAGCATGACCCAGCGCCGAGGGACATTGGCGCTGGATACAGGTAAGTCACTGAAGGGGTTTTAATCCCCTCGGCAACCTGGGATGGGAGGTGGGAGGGAGAGGGGACCTGCAGTGCCAGGAAACACTGGAAAGTCCCTTTAAGGGACACATTTTTATAAAGTCCCATAGGTACCCCAAAACATAACATATCCCCATATACATACATCCCCTGATAGCCCTGATCTGGGTGAACAACCTATCCAAAAGTCACCCAGATCAGAGCAGGGGTTCGGGAAATTCCTGGAAGTCTCTTTTGACGACCGCATGCATGATTTCATGCCCAAAACAGTTCCAGAGAATCAGGGCTTGTGGCCGGTCTAGTTCGGTAGTTTGCAAACGAACAAACAAATGAACTACCAGAGTCAATAGTCTTACCCTGGAGCTTGTTCCCTTCATTCAGACAACTGATCTCACCAAACAGTATCCTTCTAAGCTGAATAGAAATGAACGCAGTAGATGATGGAAGTCCAGCGTTGTTCGGGAGTTTCCGATTTTAGTTCCAGGAGAACAAGATGGCCGCCACCTCGTGGTTGTTCATAGGAATTGCAGCCACCCAGATGAACAATTAGAACACTGCGTTGAGAAACGTTCAAAGTTGTTAATAAGTTTTAACAAGCTCCAGGGTGTTAACGTATATTAACCAGGTCTTTTGCAGGGGCCATGGTCCTTTCCAAAAACCAGTGGCTAAGTTGCTTTCGTCATATGATTCTTAACCAAAGTTAGGGTGGCCCCCGAATCGCGGAGCCCCTGCACATTCTATCCCTCAAGGTGAACAATTCGGCGGTGGTTTTGCCGGTTGTCTGATGCAGCTTGGATGGGGTTGGCTTCATGCAGGACACCCAGTTGTTGTTCTGTGGTATTAGCAGGAACATCTTGGGGTTTGGTCTCGTTCTGGTACCAGTGGACCGGAGCTCTATTGGTGGACCTTGGTTAGCCCAGGCATGGGACTCCTGTTCCGGAGGCCGGGACGCGGTTGGTACCTGGGGGTGTAGTTGTTAGCCCGGCTGCGGCGATATGCCTCTGGGGTAATGGCATATCACGCTAGGATGGCTTGCTTCACCCTGTGGTAATCTCTGCTGTCCTCGTCTGGTACCACTTGGTACGCCTCTGCTGCACGTCCAGATAGTTTACCTGCTAGCAGCGGTACCCAATCCAATTTTAGTGCGGCATAATTTGTCTCCATTCATCTGTTCATTTGTGTAGCCGAAACGTACACGAACCGCTGCTTACACACGAACAGCTGTTTCACTGTTCCGTTCATACGAACGTTTGCGAAGCTTGTATTGCGTCGCTTCCCACCAATTGTAGCAGAGTAGACATATTAACGGCAATATCTCCGCTGGTAGACTTGATCAGCATTCAAATAAAGTGTAGCGTGACAATTCCAATCCCATTCCCCAACAACTGGACGAAACACAGTTTTGGGAGTCAACTGATTTTTATTGAGCCACAGCTGGCTTTTATACAATTCCCCATGTAAGGGGTTTGTTTAATTACATTCCAGGGGTTTTCCCCTGGTGGACCTTGTGAAGGACAGGGGACAAAGACACATTCCCCATGATCCTTTACTGTACTTGGAAATGATTACGTTAGGACAATTCTTTAATTAGATTATCTCCCAAGTACAGAAAATGTAACAATATTTTAAAATATCATGAAGATCCATCTAGCTTCTGCTTGGTCTAGATTCTTGTCCTAATCTCCCCCTCTCCAATGTACTTTGACTTTTTCAATAGGTAAAAACTGCAAAGCACCTGGGTCTCTTCCGTGAATTGAGTCTTTAAGAAATGACTTAAGATGATGAACCAGGTTTTGTAGATATCGATCCACATATTCTGATAAAGTAGAGGTTAGAGAACCTATCCCTAAAATGATCGGCTTACCAGGGGGATTGTGGAGTCTCTTGTGTATCTTTGGTAGGTGATAGAAGATAGGGATCCTAGGGTGTAACACAAACAGGTATTTATATTCCCTATCACTTAAAATTCCTCTTTCCTTACCGTATTCTACTAATTCTTTTCATTTGGCAGTGATCGACACTGTGGGATCTTTATCCATCTTCTGGTATATGGATGTGGATGTGTCAATATAAATACAAAGAATAATGTAGACTGTTATAGTTTTATATACAAACACAAAGATAAAGCACCGCGCTTACAGCAGCAGCAGCTTAGTATTCAACAGCTTAAAATACATAGTAAAAACAAAGAGAACGTTACCTGCGCTCTGGCCTAACCCACGTTTGTCTTATTAAGAGTTTATAAGTATGTAGGGGCAGCACCCCTTCTTGTCTCATTAGAGAAATGTGCCTTTTAGCTGATACTAGCAAGGTGATTTGTATGTGTTATAGCCCTATTCGGGGTTAAGTATGTAGGGGCTTATAAAATACCCCTTCATGTCTCATTAGAGATGTTTACACTTTGTCTGATACCAGCAAAGTTTATTGTATGTGTAGAAGCCCTATAAATGTGAAAGGATTTATAAAATACCCCTTCCTGTCTTACTGGAGATTCTTGGCTGATATCAGCATATCTAATGGCTAGTGTAGGACTCACCTATTGAGGCTTGCCTTGACGTGGCAGGTGAGCTTATATATTCAAATGGCCATTGCAATAAAACTAAAGAGCCTCCATTTTGTTTAAATGTACATGGGGATTTAGGCCAGAGGGCAGGTAACGTTCTCTTTGTTTTTTTTATAGTTTTATACCTTTTAGCAGCTTCTACAAATGCACCTGGCTTGAAAATATACCATATGGACAATTTAGAAGAATAATGAAGAATTGTTCAGAATTGGAAACTTGTCAAACTCAAATGCAAGCAATGAAGCAGAGATTTGCAGTAAAAGGATACCCAGAACCGCTCCTAGAACAAGCAATGAAGAAGGCCCTATCTATACCAAGAGAAGATACCCTTTATAATAAGAGAATACAACAAGAAGAACATAATAGAGCTCCGGCCTTCATAACAAAATATAGTAACCAATCCCAGAATATCAAAAAGGTGTTCGTCAAACACTGGGATATACTAAAGAGTGACCGTGTGCTTGATCAATTTTTAGATGACCAACCCAACATTATCTTTTCCCAAGCTCCCAATTTAAAACTTAAGTTGGCACCAACTGACAGTTCTAGAAATCTTCTTCGGACACCATAAAAACGTCCATTAAAGGCTTCAAAATGTGCAAGAAATGCATAGGATGTAGGAATAATCCTAACTTAGATCATACTCAAGAAAAATTGAGAAAATCTCTCTAGTTAATTAGAAAAAATAGAGTAAAATCTAATATGTAATGTAACACAACAGAGGTAATCTATCTACTTATATGCCCTTGCCCAAAACAATATGTAGGAAGAACTAAAGCATCCCATAAAAATAAGAGTGTCGGAACATATAAGAAATATTAGAAAAGGAGTGTCCACGCATAATCTGTCAAAACATTTTAATGATGTTCAGAGACCCAGGTGGTTTGCAGTTTTTTCCTATTGAAAAAGTCAAAGTTCATTGGAGAGGGGGAGATTTGGACAAGAATCTACCCTAGCCCCAAGAAGCTTAAATGCTTAATGCATTCTTATGATAATTTTTAATAACCCTTTTTTAGGACCTGTCTATTCCTTTCTTTTTTAGATTACTAACATGACTATAGTATGCGTGTGTTTTTTCCAATATTCTCTTATTTTATTATTACTATTATGTATTATTTTTATACTAGGAGTTTCTAGTTTTTATTTTAGATGTTATATTGTATCTACGTGCAGTCCACTATTTCATATTATTCTATATTATTCTATGTGTATTCCCATAGATTACTTTCCCTTTTTACAATATAGTAACCCATTGTTTATTTTATTTTTTATTTTTTCATTTTTGATCTGATTTGCTTCATCTCCTTTCGAAGCCATTTTATATACATATTTATCTTTGCCACATTTTCGGACATTTTACTATCCTGTGGCTATTTAATTTTATTAATTCATTATTTTTAGTATATTTATATTATATTTATTTTTCCACCTTTTTATTCATTACTAATTTGTATTTAATTTTTTTTGTTCTTTAGATATATTACTAATATTTTGTCTCTTGATCTGTATCTATAATCTGCCTTTTGTCAGATACAAGTCTCATCAATTGTATAGTATTTGGTATCTAGTATATATGATCTATTTTCTACTTTGTACCTGTATTTCTATTTTCTATATTTATTTTTATATTTAGTGTAATTCTCTATTATTTTATTTGTATTGTTATGTGCATTTCGTATATTTATTTCTGTTATTTTTATTATTTTACTTCCATTTTTATTATTTTTAGTTTTTCACCTTTATTTTCTATTATTCTTTACCTTTCTAGTCTAGTTTTTCTCCTTTTTTCTTTTCACCAATGCGTTCTAAGAGATCCGTAATTTAAACATTTTCATGTTATTTGATACAACATAAGTTTAACTTGATATATAAGTATCTTTACACATATTTGTCAATTATTGAAGCCTCTGGTAGAGGGAAGCTTTTCCTCACGAAACGTGGAAGGCTTAATTAGCACATAGACCAAGTGCTATTCACAATCAAGATCCACTATCTAGTGGAAGAAAGTTACCACAGCAACGCTCTACAAACTCCGTGCACAAGCCGATCTAGATCCTTATGCAAACAGATGTTGAGGATCATTCTTCTCTGATATTGGTGGAATCATACCCGAGAGTGAGGCTTCGGATGAAACGCTGTTTGGATCGCACGTGGACCTCACCGGCAGACATCACACAACGAGGACTGCAGTTCCCACAAGCCATATCCACCAGGAGAACTGTTGATGCGGCATCCATGTGAATCATCTTGGTACTATTTATCCTATTTTTGTGTGTATGAACTTATTTTATTTCACTGAATTTTTCTTTAAAGACTTATGGATTTTTTAAAAACATTTTTTCCTTTTCTTTTTCTTCTTTCATCTAGCTCATGTTTAATAGCAAGCAGTGACTTTGGGTACTGTGTTGTTTTTCCTTATATAGTTTGTTTCTTTTGCATTTGTTTTTTTTCTTTTTTATGTTCACTGAAAGTCAGTGAATTATATTGCATTGGCAATAGGGCTCCATGACTGTACATCACCTATATGCACAATTCAGTGTGATTACTCTTGTGCTACACTTTGTGGAATATCGGACTTATATTACTAATCTATATTTTTTAATTTTAATTTTCTCTCATTTATGGCAATCTATATATGGACTTATTCTTGACTTATCATGCAATCTTTTATTTGAATGTATATGCATTTTATTTATTTATTTTTGTGCTCTTATTTTATTATTATTATTATTATTATTATTATTGCCATTTATATAGCGCCAACAGATTCCGTAGCGCTTTACAATATTAAGAGGGGGGGACTTAACTATAAATAGGACAATTACAAGAAAACTTACAGGAACGATAGGTTGAAGAGGACCCTGCTCAAACGAACTTACAGTCTATAGACATATACTATAGTGCTATTTTATTTCAGCTCCTGGAAACCTTTCATCTTATTTTTATAAGTGATACTGATTTACTTGTTTCTCTAAGGAGGATTGGTTACCCCCAGGGCCGGACTGGGAAAAAAATTAGGCCCAGGAATTTTTCAATTAGAGCGGCCCCCCAAAAAGGGGGTGGGGCCAGAGAAAGTGAGCATGTTGGTTCAATGCGCAGAGCCCCGCTGAAGAGCTCTAGCATTAGAAAAAGGCCCTGTATTTGTTTTGCGCAGTGCAAGCAAATGTAATAACATGCTTGCGCTGTGTTTGCTTTTAAATTGTCTCTGGTGTCTCCACAAGTGGGATACCAGAGGACAAAAGGGCCAGGAAAGTGTATGGTGCATGTGTTTGGCGCATGCTTGTGGGATTGCCTGTGTGTAGAGTGTGGTGTGGTATTGTGTAAATAGGTCAATTTTGTGGTGTAATATGTGTGGCTAGGGGCTGTAGAGAGTGCGTGTATAGGGGCATAGTGTTATAGGGGATGTAGCGAGTGTGTGCATACGGGCAGTAGTGTGTGTGTATAGGTGACGTAGTGTGTGTCACTTATACACACACACTACTGTGTGTAGAGAGGGTGTGTTTAGAGAATGTTGTATGTGTTTGCTTACAAGGAATGTAGTGTGTGTGTAGGTGGTGCAGTGTGTGTGTAAGAGATCTAGTGTGTAAAGGACCCAGAGTGTGTATAGAAGATTGTGTGTGTGTGTGTAGAGGATTAAGAGTGCATATAGGGTAAGGGATCTAGCGTGTATCTGGAGCGTAATGTGTGTAGTGGTGCTGTAGTGTGTGTGTGTGTGTGTGTGTATATATATATATATATATATATATATATATATAGCAAAAAAACAGGATGCTTGGCACTCTCCTTTAAGTAATAAGAAAGAACTAATAGCCTGGGTGCTATATCCCAAACGTCAGAAATATACAAAAATCAAAACTGAGGATGCACTCACAGAACTTGGTTAAAGTGAAAAAAAGGGACTTTTAATTATTCCATGTGAATGGAAAATTGATTTTTCTGTACATTTCACATGGAATAATTAAAGGTCCCTTTTTTCACTTTAACCAAGTCCTGTAAGTGCATTCTCAGTTTAGATTTTTGTATATATATATATATATATATATATATATATATATATATATATATAAAATATATTTGGACGTATTGTATGTGTGAGGTGCGCAGCGTGTTTGTGTAAGAGGGGTGCTGTGTGTGAGGGTGTTTTTATCTGCCGTCACATTCTGGGTTTCTAATTTTATTTGTCTGTTAACTCACTGAGGGTTATTTTATATAATATATATGTGCTGTATATGTGTGGGAGTGAGGGTGCTGTCTGTCTGAGGGTGTTGTGTGCGTCTGGGGGTGCTGTGTGTGTCTGGGGGTGTGCTGTGTGTGTCTGGGGGTGCTGCTGTGTGTGTCTGTGGGGTGCTGTGTGTGTCTGTGGGGAGCTGTGTGTGTCTGGGGGGTGCTGTGTGTGTCTGTGGGGTGCTGTGTGTGTCTGGGTGCTGTGTGTGTCTGTGGGGTGCTGTGGGTGTGTGTCGGGGGGGGGCTGTGTGTGTCTGTGGGATGCTGTGTGTGTCTGTGGGGTGCTGTGTGTGTCTGGGTGCTGTGGGGGGGTGTGGGGGGCTGTGTGTGTCTGGGGGGCTGTTAGGGAAATTATTTTAAATATATATTTTTTATTTTATTAATAATTATAATATTATTATAATTAATAATTATTAATAATTAAAAAAAAATTATGTCGCCATCACGGCCCACCGGGCATTTGCCCCGTGTACCCGATGGCCAGTCCGGGCCTGGTTACCCCACTTCCAGTGTTAGAGCTCTTTATTTGATATTTGATTAATTGTGGTTTTTAAACTTCCCTCTTTTCCTTGTTTCAATTATTTTCTTTAAATGATCAACATTTGATCACAATCTTGTTTTTTACTGACAATTTCTCTCCTTGGAAGTTCTTTTCCAATTCAGCCTCTAATTGCATAATCTCATTTTTGGTTTTACTTGTTACACTTTGTAAAAATTCCAAATTCAATAACATCCAGTCCATAGAACATTTATTGAAGAGGATTTCAAGCCTTGAACAATATACTTAATTTCCTTTAAACAATGTGGGTTGAGCATGCATCCACATATCCCTAAGAATACGCTTGGTCTTATAATACTCGGCTATGGTAACACTATGTAATTTTAAACTCACATTTTTCCAAATCTTTACTTACAGCTTTAGAGCTTGAAGTACTCAAAAATTCAAAATTACCTTTAGCTGCCAATAATATATGCCTTGCTTCCTTATCCGTATAACAAAATACGCTTGTACTGGGTTGAACATCAGGCTCCATAATGCCAATAAAATATAATATATATATTTATTTTTAGGCAAAGCTTAGCCAAGTAAAACAGAAGAATCAATAACGACAGGAAGGTGCAATACAATTTCAATGATGCTTAAATTTGATTCTTTCCAAACAAACATAAGGAACTCCACTCAATCCTGTCAATCTGAGCCATGGTGCAACTGAACCAGAACCAAGCACCAGGTTCCAGTGGCAATAGTATAACATACAAAAAAAACGGTTCAGGCACTCCAAGGTTCAGAATGGCAAATTCATTGAAGCCCAAAGCAACGTTTCAACCTTACGGGTATCTGTCAAGCTATAAAATACATGTATCACAGCAAATTTATAAGCACATCAATTCATTGAATCAAACAATAATTAACACAATAATTAACAATTGTGAAATAAAAAAGGGCAGTGACAGCTGAAAAAGAGGTCTCTATACATTTGGACTAATAGGAGATTGCAAAACTTTCAAAAAAGAAAAATTGATGATTGGAAATTACTAACCTGTAAGTGAATTAGTTAAAAAAAGGGGAGTCCCTGCCAAAAAAATGATCTGTCCGTTCGAGCGTAATTCACGCTATGTATCCAAGAGGACATTGTAAGAGTGAGCACATGCTTCCGTACATGCGCAGTAAATATGAATGTATACACCTACCAATCCCGCATGCGCACGGCAGTACACAGCCAACAAACCCAGTACAAATATCACACACATGCAACACACCTATCACACACAAACACATTACATCATATTACAGTGGAGCTCTGACATACAAAAAATGTTTGAGGAGCTCTGTGATTCACTAATTGGCACATTACTGGGAATGTTTTGTTGTGGAGCTTTGTGGCATACTCATACACTGCACATTACTGGGCATTTTATTGTTGTGGTGTTTTATGATAAGCTGGTCCACACCACATAGTACTGTAAGGGTATGTGGAGCGCAGTGATAAATGGATAAACAGCACATTACTATGAGTAATTATTCCAAGGAGGTCAAGGAAAATAAGGAAAATCCAGAGGTCCTTAGCAAACCAACTCTGTGACATACAGTGAGGGAAAAAATTATTTAATCCCCTGCTAATTTTGAACGTTTGTCCACTGACAAAGAAATGATCAGTCTATAATTTTAATGGTAGGTGTATTTTAACAGTGAGAGACAAAAAAAAAACATTACAAAATCCAGAAAAACACATGTCAAAAAAGTTATAAATTGATTTGCATGTCAATGAGTGAAATACGTATTTGATCACCTATCAATCTGCAAGATTTCTGGCTCCCAGGTGTCTTTTATACAGGTAACTAGCTGAGATTAGGAGCACTCTCTTAAAGGGAGTACTCCTTATCTCATCTTGATACCTGTATAAAAGACACCTGTCCAGAGAAGCAATCAATCAATCAGATTCCAAACTCTCCACCATCGCCAAGACCAAAGAGCTGTCCAAGGATTGTAGACCTACACAAGGCTGGATAGATGGAATTTGTGAGTGTTATGAATGTATTGTAACTCTGTAACACTATAACTCTGTAATATTCTTCTTCTGTAATATTTAACTGGACATATTCTAAGTAAAGATTTCTCTCTGGTAAGAACTATGGTGTTGGCTGTTTAATTGTAATATCGGGTAGAATACCTTAGTAGTGCTAGTCATATATTTATCTGGACAAGGGGATAACGATATATGTTAGTTCTTGGAAGATGTGACACAGGGTTATTACATTCACTATTAATACACAATGCAGAGTGGATCTCTCTCAAAAGGATACCAATTGGAAGTATAGGTTGTGAGAGAAGAATTATACAACACAGACCATAAGTAGCTCGGGACAATCAGAGCTGCAAGTGCCTGAGCTTGCCAGACAGTTACGCACGGTCTTCACCCGGTGGAGGGTACAGATTCCCAGCACCAAAGTGGACCACCAGTGATCAGCATGCACCTCTACCTCTACCAATAATATAACAACAAGGGCCTGGGCCTTGGTTAGGCCGTTTGGAAAGAGGTGCAGTAGATATATTTCTGGGGTTTCTGGTAAGTTTATCCCCATGCAGTCTTGTATGACCTGGGCTATACCTGACCAATAGTGTGCCAATTCTGGATAAGACCACCAAATGTGTGTCATTGTTCTCTTGTCTGTGAGACATCGCCAGCATGCGTCTGATATATTTGGGTTACCTTTATGTAATCGTGTTGGCACTAGGTACCATCGATATAAAATCTTCCGCGTTTATTCCATGTGGGAAGTACATAGTGATAGGTTTTTATGTGCCTGGAGTATTCGGGACCACTGACTTTCCAAGAGAGAGATGTTTAGTTCTCGCTCCCATGCTCTCACAAAGGTAAGGGATCGTGGGTTGGAAGTATCGTTATATTTGGCATACAGGATAGAGATCAGTTTTCAGGGCATTTGTAGTCTAAGACAGATCTTTTCCACCTCCGTCAGCTGTAGGCCATTTACATCATGATATGACAGTAATGTCCAACTAGAACTGGATAAAGAGATTGAGGTGGTCCAGGGTTTTAAAGTAGAACCACAATTTGAATGACTAGAGATAAAACTCAAATCCAATCTGGACAAATTCTCTCACATTATAAAAGTGAGGAAACACCAGAAGTATATGAGAGATACAAAGGACTTTGAACAAGGTAGAATTTACCGTTCTTTTAAAAAGAGATCTAAAGTAGACTCTGACCAATTCAGTACATCTGAGTACGAATCAACCGATACTGAAAATGAAAAACCTCAAACCCCTACTCCTAGGAATCCAACTAAAAGTATTCTAAAAAAGGGGGTGGATTTTTTAGGATTAAGACAAGCGGATCTAACTCAGGGTCCGCACACCAGATACAGGGGCAGAAGTCAGAGACGACGCAGGGAATGATAGCATCCTCTCTGCGTATTATTAATCTCTCTGATACCATCCTTGGTCAGACCGAACTTAGCGTATTGGAGAAGGGTTTTTCATTCGTACCCATTCCAACATTCAGCAAGTTCAACTGGACTAAGGATGTAAACCTTTTTGTGAGAAAGCTTGCCTTGTATAAATACCATGCAGTATGTAAAGAAACTAAGGCCCAAAGCTTGGGTCTATCACCAAATGACTTGGAGTGCTTAGACACTCTGGTGGAATTACTTAACTCTGGAGATGGTACTATACAATCTGATATACCACATACTAATTTGAAACCCAAGAGTAAGTTTACCCCTCATTTTCAGGATTATAAAAATTTGGAGGTATTTTTGGAAATGGTTACTAGGGAAATAGATAAGACAAAAATGGATGATTTTTATCTATCCCCTAATGGCAACCTTAATACTCAGGAACTAATAGCCCTGAAAAAACTACAGAGCTATACAAATTTGATTTTAAAACCCTCTGATAAAGGGGGCAATGTGGTGATACTTGACAGAGACCACTACATTCGTATAGCTGAAAGACTTTTATCCGATAAAAATACTTACCGCATACTAGCAAAAGATCCTACAAAAGTGTTCCAAGCTGAGTTAAAAACTATGCTTACTAAGGCTGTGAATCATCAACTCATTAATCAGGATGAGTTTGAATTTATGTGCACCAAACAACCATGTCTATCTACTTTTTATTGTTTGCCTAAAGTGCACAAATCACTAACCGATCCGACCGGTAGGCCGATAGTTTCTGGTTGTGATAATCTAACTCAGAATGTAAGCATTTATGTGGATAAAATTCTGTCCCCAGTAGTACAGAAGCTACCATCTTTCCTTAGAGATACTAAACAAATGTTGCATTTATTGACCAACCTTACTTTACCTGTGTAGCCTTGACGTGGAGGCCCTTTACAGCTCAATTCCTCATAACCTAGGTATTAAACATACCCGTCAACTATTAAATCTTGAAACTGACCTACCTGAACATTATGTGAATTTTGTGATGGAATTACTTGATTTCATTTTGACTCGTAATATCTTTCTGTTCAATGGCAAAATCTTCCACCAGACCACTGGTACAGCTATGGGGACGTCTTGTGCGCCCTCATATGCCAATCTCCATCTAGGCTGGTGGGAAAGGTGTATTAGGGCAGATCCTAAGCTGAAATCATACACTAATCAGATCTTCTATTGGAAAAGATACATCGATGATGTGTTTTTGATTTGGCTTGATACATCAGAGAGATTCAAAGAATTTGTATGTCTGCTGAACAGCAACGATTTTAACTTACGATTCACTAGTGAAGTAGGGGGTCAAAACCTTTGCTTTCTAGATCTAGCATTACAGGTATCTAAAGAAGGCAAAATTGAAACAACCTTGTACAGAAAGAAGACAGCCTCAAATAACCTGCTATGCTGGTCTAGTCATCACCCCATATCACTCAAATACGGTATCCCAATAGGCCAATATTTGAGACTTCGACGAAACTGCTCCACGATGGAGGAGTTCAAATTAAAAGCAAATGAGCTGCGTCACATGTTTAAGGCCAAAGGTTACCCAAATAGGGTTCTAAAAAGAGCCTATCTGAGGGCAATCCACACTGAACGGGAAACCCTAATTACAGATGGGGGTCGTAAGACTGAGGAAAATAAAATACGCTGCATAGGTACATATGATGCAGGATGGGACACTATGCTGAATGTCTTTCAAAAATTCTGGCCTATCCTCCAATCAGATAAGCATCTGAAGGAAATTCTGCCATCACTCCCTTCAATTACAGCACGGAGGGGCAAAAACTTGAGAGATATCCTAGCACCTAGTCACCTCTCAACTACGTCCCCGTCAGGTTATTTTCAAAAATACCTACCAATGGGTTCTTTCCAATGTGGTCACTGCAGTGCATGCCCGTTTATTACCAAGAGGGCCTCTGACAGCAAGGGCTTAATGAATTTCAAACCACATTCCTTCTTTAATTGTAACACAACAGGAGTAGTTTACCTACTGTCTTGCTCCTGTGGCCTAAAATATGTAGGCAAGACTTTTCGCCACTTCAGGCTAAGGATACGTGAACATGTAAATTCTGTCAAGAGACGTTTGGAAACACCCGTCTCAAGGCATTTACATCTACATCACAATCACTCCTCGGCAGGCATCCGGTTCATGGGTCTTGAACATGTACCACAGCCTCCTAGGAAAGGGAACTGGGACCTAAAACTAAGACAAAGAGAGGCGTTTTGGATTTACCATCTCAAAACGCTATCTCCCCTGGGGCTAAATGAAGGGTTTTCATATTCCCCGTTTATTTAAAGTACTGCAATAATTCTGATATTAAATGGTATCTTAAGTTATGCCTGTATATATGTATATATTCTTTATTTATTTCTATTATATTTGGTGTTCATATGTCCATTAATTTTACGTGTATTATAGGTCTAAGAGTTTAGGGGTCTGTTTTGTGTTGCATAAACTAATGGGTTACTATTTACAGTGGCAATAAAAGAATTGTCGGCTTCTGTGTATGACTGCCCATATAGCCATTGTACTTATCCCTTACTGGTTCACAACGGTTATAAGTTGTTTCTTTAATTGTACTAAAGCTACACAATACAGCCATAAGAATCAATCCACACACTTGACCTATATGATACAATTTGGACATTCCAAGGGTTAATTGTTAAGCTATGGATACTGCCTTTTAGATATAGTAAGTATCCATTTATATCTGTTCCGGGCGGGGCACTCAAAGGGTTAATTCCCTTTCACCTGATTTCTGTTCTGGCTACCTCTGACATAGAAATGTGGGCTGACACTATGGTGTGTTACACCACACCCCCACAGCCCCATTCACAGGAGGACCGGAGCAATTTAGACACAATCACAGGTGATTACAATAAAGCTTATGAGCTTAAGGTATAAATTTACCACCCGGACAGTTTTTTGCTCACTGCTGATACCCCTGAGGACGGCGTGTGGTCACGCCGAAACGTACGTCGGGTTCTTCTGTGTTTTTAATACTCTCTTGAGCACTTTGCTCTGAGCACCTTTTCATTTATGTTTTTCTAGTATGTGTGTGTAACCTGGGGCTTCAGATGTTATGACAGCATTTAGATTAGAACACCCACGAAGGTGTTTTATAGGAGATAGGGTATTAGCATAGCACTACTGTTTGGTTGGGAGTGTGTGTTTCTCCCTTTCCCTGTTCTTTCCTACTGCTTTGTTACCTGAGTTATGTATGGGGGTACATATTGCCTTCTATTCCCTCT